AGACAGACAGACAGACAGACAGACAGACAGACAGACAGACAGACAGACAGACCATCGAGTGAGGGCCTTGCGGTTCACTGTGTGGCCAGCAAACAACAAACACTGTACAGTAGATACAATGTTTGCCTGGGGAAGAAGTCAAAACCATCTGCAGGTCTTTGACATGTTTAAATCTAAACTAATGGGGGGGAAATGGATTCCCAAGCTAGTGCTCTCGCACAGGTTTCCTGCTTTAACAGGCACTTTGACTGCAAGGTGTGAGAGAGAGGGCACAGGATGTGTGTGTGTGTTGGTGCGTGTGTGTGCGCTTGCATCAAGGGATTTCCCAGATGATGATTACTGAACACACAGTGACGGGGTGAACGATGGAGAGAGATATACAAAATCAAGGTGACGTCCGGAGAGTATTTAGTTGTTCTAAATGGAAGACAGGACATGAGCTACTCATTCATTCTTTACAGAGCCCTAATTAAGTATTAAAATGACCCCAACAAGGCCTTTTAATACATACATTAACGCATTTACATACATATGAGTAATAAGTAGGAGTAAGTTCACTATGACATTTTCAATTAAAAAAAAAAAAAAAAGTAAAGCCCCACAAAGTCAAAGACGACACACAAAGATCGATACTGTAAACGTACGCTGAGATCATTCATTCTCTAAAATGTTTCTCCCCTTTATCCATCTTCCCAAGCTCGTGTCTCATCCCTCTTCCTGTCCAGGACTGTCCATTCACACTTTTCCCATCATCCTATCTACTCATCTCCTTCTCTCCTCTCCTCTGCATTATCTCACTCTCTGCATATTTGTCTACTTTTGCATTTTCTCCTTGTTGTCTCCCATTCTCTTTGGACTTTGATAACTTCAACACTTAAAGACTATGGAGCCTTATTCCTCTCCTTTCCCTTCTTGTCCTCCCTTCAACTCCTACCCTCTCTTGGGGGACATCCCTGATGAGTCATCCCCAGTCTGCTAGAAGGACAGGGATATGGCAATATGTTTTTTCATCTCTTTAGACAGCGTTGTATTATTTTCCTCTCCTTGTGTTTCAAACCATGTGAGAAATTGTTGCAGTTGTTACCCGATGACTGTGTTTTTCTGTTTTCCCCACTAACCGCTGAAGAAGCGGCTCATCCATCACTTTAAATACCCTTTGATGCACTCCCCGCAAAAGGCTGCAGTCCTCTTCATGAAGTACAATACATGGGCCTAACACCACACATACACACACAGTATACAGACAAGCCTATCAAGGACCAATACACAGAGGAGGTTCACACCCATACGTATGAGTCTTTACTGGGTTAAACTGATGGGTGATTGTTACCCATAATGTGCTGCAGGAAAGAGTTCTAAAACACCGTCATGAGTCGGCATTTTTGCACTTCCTCTTCCCTCATCTCGAAGTCGATGAGTTTTTGAATGGGTTTTTTGTTAGAGGCCTGAAATAAGGTCCGTGTTTAATACGAGCTGAAGAGATTTTAACGTTTTGTTCTACGATATTAATAGGTTAGTAAATCTATCGCTCTGGTGAATTTTGAAGCTTTTACGCGCTTTACAAAAAGGCGGTTGATAACAAGTGGCTGACACTACAAAACGCCATCACGCCGACTAGTCCATCTTTATCTTGGTGGTGGTGAAGTGCAGTCATGTGACCATGGTGCAGTTTGTTTATTGCCTGACGTTAGCTTTATGCTGCTGGCGATTGTATTTATGCTTCAAAAATCATAAAAGTGGTGTTCATTTGTGAAGAGTATCTTGCTGAACAAAAACGTGTAAGTATCATGAACTTGTGTTTGCCACAGAGTGTATTTTCTGCAATAATCCCACTTCCAAATGAAACATGCCATTGGCTTTTTGGCGAGGCAACCAGTGTGATGCTTACTTTCAGGTTGGCATACAAAAGTAGGTCATCCCTTGAGCACTGATGCCTCCCACAGGTGCTTGTAGAATGTAAATCACCCTTCTGTTTACTGTACTTGGCCAAGTCTCTTTAGCCATCACACAGTGATGAGCACCTTACACAATGTGTACTTTGAGGAATGTGTTGACCGTAATCACCTAGTGCTGCCAGTGATTACCTCAATCAATATGTTACATTGTACAACACCCCACCTAGATATAACTAAATAGGTACAGACTAGTAAGCTTCTCTACATATATACTGTACAGTGATGTTTCTTTGGACGCCATCTCAGGATGCATCCGGAGCTCAAACATGTTGGGAATTCTTTACTTGAACCAAACACCCTGGGACCATTTCTTCCAGGAAGATATCACACATTGTGATGTAAACGTAAAGTAAGTGTTAAATGAATACGATATAAGATTGGGCTTCACTTCTGCGGGCATCACTTCAATCCCAATCGTTCTAAAAAGGGGCAACAATTAAATGTCAAAGCCTATAAACAATTTGAGGTAACCATGTTAGGGATAGCAAAACTATTGCAAAAAAATGCCAAGTCCAAATCAAATTATCTGAGGTGATGAATTCCATTTTTGAAAGATTTTTCCACCCCTTGTATATACATTAGTGTAAAAGTGAAAAAATAGGAGCGTATACTGTTGTTTTTTTCCCCACCATATACCTTTAAATTCATCTGCAGTTCCTGAGAGAAGAGATCATATAATTGATGTTCACATGGGGAACTCTGCTTGCCTCTGTGCTCACTCAGAGTTCCATCCATATTAAGGTGCTCACCAGTATGCAGGCATCTGGATCAGCTTCCCGTAGAGTGCAGTGCTAAAGGAAGGGATGATGGGGATGAGAGGCAGGAAACCTCCTGCACTGTCCTGGACCGTCAAGCCTGCCTGGAACCCAAACACCTGGAGAGAGAGAGAGAGAGAGCGAGAGCGAGAGAGAGAGAGAGTGTGAGGAAAAAGAGGGAGAGAGCAGGGCTGTTCTCTCATCTCAAACACAACTGAACTGTTTTGAGCATTTCTGTCTTCAGCGGACCTGTCGTATCCCAAATCTGCACTCTTACAGAGTCAGAAGACACGATATTGTCCCCACTGGGAAATTAGTGCTGGACTCAAATGCTACAAACATGACGTATCGTCTTCTCATATAGCTGCCTCCATGAAAATAATGAAACAGATAACAAAAAGAAGACAGAATCATCTTATCATCCTTGTTTACTGAACAACCAGCTGTCAGCAAGTCCATCTTCCAGTCTGGGAGGGACCATTAAAAGTATCCGTATGTTGAACCCAGGCGGCAACCTTCGGTTCTAGCGAGTGAAGCCAATGCAAAAAGAAGTCAGATTGTATGGAAGTCCATGAGAAAATTACTCTCCTCGATTTATTACCTCAGTAAACATTGTAAACATGAGTTTATGGTCTCAATCTCTAGTTGGCTGGCTAAGTAATTAAATACTCTTCCATGCCAGTGGGTGGCAGTAGGTAGCTCAATATTGACCTTGTTAGTTAGAATTGAATGACGCATGGGAGAGGCGACAAGATGAACAGAGATGGGGAACTATTTGAAAAGGAAAAGTACAGTCTCTGAACTGGGCCCTGGACAACATTTTAACCCAGATGGAAAGCCACGTATGAGTGGTGCTCGAGGCTCGAGGCTATACAGCGAAAGTTATCTTTCGTTTGGATTTACTTTCACCGGGGATCCGACTGCACCGACTCCATTATGCTTGGTGTGTGGGGAAAAAGTATCCAACGGTGCCATGGTCCCAAGTAGGCTGAAACGTCATCTCCAGACGAAACACCCGTCACTTCAAAACAAGAACACGGACTATTTTGTTCCCCTACACAGGTTTCACACTGAGTAAGGATCAACAAATTGAGAGACTTGTCATTAAATTGTCAGCATATATGCTGTATTATGCTACAGTGTGTTATTTTGTAACTTTTTTGGTTGTTGGTGTGCCGCGGGATCTTTTTAATGTAAAAAAATGTACCGCGGCTCAGTAAAGGTTGAAAAGCAATGAAATAGACCATAAAGCAAAGTAAGCTTTAGGGCGGGGTTTCTGTGATTGACAGACTGCGGAATCGCCGAACTCGAAGCTTCAAAAAGTCAGTCCACAAACCAATGGGTGATGACACCATGACTACGTCCACTGTTTATATACAGTCTATGGTTGAACTCACCAAAAAATGTATGTAAACTACACTTACATTACACCACTGCAGACGCATTTGTTTTTTTCCTGTAATAGCTTTTCAAGGCAAAGATGACATGGCAGAAGTGACGTATCCACTGCAGTGTCATTCAGGGAGGATACACACTGCTGAGTCCTGAACACACTGTGCACGGCTAAAGAGCACAGAGGTCTACGAACAAATAACGCACTGGACTGAAGTTTTCAGAATAACTTTAACGTAAGTGTGCACACATACTGCAACAAGTTAAAGCACAAAGAAATGAAGCAACACTCTTGCTTGCCCTCAATTGACAGCACAGTCACAACACCCCTTCATACGGATCAGATTTATCAGGTCCAGATCGTGCCAAGTTAACATTCAAGTATTTTTCCAGGAAGAGCGTGTTGTCGTTTAGTGACAACGTGGCTCATGATCGTATTCTCATTATCTCAGCTCCCGGTAGCCACATTGCCAGACACAGAATGTACTGCAACCTCAATGTTTACATACTGTTAATAGTGAGCATGGTGGATGAAGTCCAGTTTAATATTTGAGGCAGTGGATGATGGCTGGGCCCAGCTGTCCCACATGCAGCTGCTGTATATGCTCAGGGCAGGATTCACTCAATTCCAAGAGAAGGTCTACCAAACCCCTTAGCTGAGCAGACAGACGAGAGCAGGCGGACACAACCTTGGACCAAACTAAAATGATAATTAATTTATAAATGGACAACTGGCCTATGGCTGGAATATTACACAACAGAGTAGCATAACAAAATTGAACTGTACGATTGCCAGATAGAGATGTAAACATAATAAAGATCTCACTTTGAAATGCAAGCTTGAGGCCGTATAGCCACGGACCGATTCACTACAGCTTACACAACTAGTTCTTCAAATAACCCAAAGTTTCAATAATGATCGGTCTGTTTCCTTCCGTTTCCTCCTTGTTGAGCAAGGCTGATGTTGAGTTCTTGTCTATAACCAAGGAAAAGTGAGACAATGGCTAACCGCTACACTCAGCACAAACACCTTAGCTTTGTCAGCCAGTGTCAATAAAAGACAGATTAAGATAAGCCTTAGTTTATACCCGTTTCAAATCACTTCCTGCAGCGGGTGAATTGCGGCCAGATTGACCTCCACCCCGTCATGATCCTCCTGCCAAAATCCAGAGGCGCAATTAGAATCTTGGCAGATACAGATGCCGATTGGCTGATTGGTCAGAAGAGATCCTTGGCCACTGACCAGGTGACTGTTAACCCCTTGGTGACCCTGTGATAAGGACTACCAGCATGATGTCCGGCAAACATCCTGTCTTAAAAAAAAAAAAAAAAAAAAAACAGACCAGGCCAGACTGGGCCACCCCGGATCAGCCCAGATCTGTTATCCAGGCTTCCTAAAAGGGGGATTAGCTGTATTTGCTAAAGCCACCATAGTTCTATATGTACTGCACGGAACATCCTGGCCTTCAAGTCAACTATGAATAGAAAGGTTAAAACATTGTTTTATTGATGACTAAAGTCAGCAGATATGTCTTTACCTTCACCTGTATTTAGATGAAATACTAAGCAAATAGTGTGTATGTAAATAATTCATGCTTTATAGCTATGTATACAAAGTGCTGAGACACATTTAGAGGAGGATCAATGATTTGATGAATTCAATGACTCACAGCGGATTGTTCGGATGACTGTCCTTAGGGAACTGCCACAATCGAATTATACAACAAACTGTAATTACTAAAATTGGCCTCACCGTATGAGACGATCTGATGAAAGTATGGGTGAAAGAAAATATTAAAGAGTGATTTTAAACTCCTCTAACAAACCAAAAGGCCCTATTTGATGATGTTGCTAACTTTAACTGTAATTAAAATGAATTTGATCTTTTGAGCTTGAAACTGGAAACCATAAAAGCAACGCAGTAAGAGGGGAATGTCGACGCCGCACAATACAAGCATGAAGTAGACCAGAGCTGGACTGGTGCTCATCAGAAAGCCCAGTGCTGAGACTTTTATGACCAGGTAAAAAGGGGTCATGCAGGTCATTAGAGTTATTTCAGGGTGGAGTTAAGACTGTGGCCATGCAGACTTTAGGCTGATGTGTCAATTACCTTGTGTGTTTTGTCTCCAATCGAAAGATGATTAATAAAGAAAAACATGTACAATCAAATGAAAGAAATAAAACATAACAGAAACAAAAATGTGACAGGAAAAAGGGCATTGGAATAAATGCTGTATGAGGGCATGGTTTTACATCCACTCTTCCATAACTTTTTGCACTGTACATTATCAAATATATAATAGAAGATAATGGATGAAAGCATCCTGAGTTTCTTAACAGTTTAAACAGCACGGAACTTTAATAAGAGAACCAAATCAGCAAATGTAAAACCAACGTAAGATGTGCAGGGTTAAAATAGAATCGAGATCTGAATGACCTTTTTGGAAAACATCATTGTGTCGTTTGCCATATGCCCCATTTTTGTCTTTTATGTACAGTAAGGACAGCTGTGATATATAATAACGTTGTGCTCACCTTGAGGTAGAGGTGTGCATAGCAGTGATGGAGCAGGTTGTCAGAGGGCTGGCTGAGACCGCTGACGGTGCTGACCAGCTCTGGAGCGTACATGGGCACCGAGTGCTCAATGTTCACCCTTTCCACCTGGAACTGCACGGCAGGTAGAGGGCGCACCGGCTGAAACGCTGGGATGTTGACCGGCCCCGGTGCGGTCTGGGGGATGGAGGATATGAAAGGGAAAGGGGTTAAAAGGGAGAATACATATCGCAGCTGGACTCTCTGACGAGTTCTTAAAATTGAACTGAATCTAAAGTTGTGACTGTGTGACTTTTATAATGATGGGTTTAATGTGCTGGATTTGATGATTGACTTTTTTTTACTATGGTACTTCCGTTTAATCAGGAAATGGGAGTTTGTTTAGAAGAATGTAGGTCTGTGTGCACCACCTTGCATCCCATGATGACCGGCATTAGTGTGTGAAGGAGGTTGAACTCCGCCATGGAGACGGTCACTGAGACTTGGAGCAGAGTGAGACACGTGAGCCTGGTCGGGATGAACTCCTCTAAGCTTGAGATCTCCTCTGGAGTAGCTGCACCGAGGCTCTCTTCAACCACTTCTACAGAGACGATGACACAACAGAAAGAAACATTAGCTTTGGAACGCATCGCAGAGGCACAGTGATGGGCGAGGATGCAGTGTAAGATTAAACATTCTATGTTTTACACGAGTCAATCTAACCACTAGTATGCGACCTGTGGTGCATTAAGGATTTGAGGACTTGAGGTATTTTTTTAAGAGAGAAAGAGGTTAGCTGTAAAGCACACCACATTTCTTTGAGTGGGCGCCTCTCTTCTACGCCTGCAGCATTAAAACAATAAAAAAAAAAACACCATCTCATGCACTAAATAGAATCAACATGCACTAAAAACGTCCTGGCATCTCTGAGCGATATTCATTACAGTGCTTGCTTTCTAGTAGCTTTGTTTTTGAACTATCTCATAAAACCACTCATTCAATCAATGACCAGAAACATCCAGAAAGGCAGAAAATATAGTGAACCACCAAGTCAACATTGAGTAGAGGCGAGCGAGGTCAGCGCTCACCAAAGGAAGGAGGGACCAGGGCACTGAACCGCTGAACTGGGTCCAGGGCCTGAGGTGGACCAAAACCTGAGGGCTTTGTTACTGAACGGCCTTGGCTCCGGTCCCAGGACACGGGCTTGTTTCTTTTCTGTAAAGGTTCTGTTGGGCTACATTCCCAGCTCCAAGGTGGGCTCAGAACCTGATCCCCAAGCTGGTTTTGCTCTTTGGCCTAACGCCACAGCCACGCATCAGGTACATCTGGCGCTGCCATGTCCAATCTAATCATATGCCAGGGCTCAAGTCAATATTCACAATCAACATCCAAATTACAAAAACCATGCAGCTCACGTGGTACACAGAGGCATGATTACACACACTAAAACACTCTATATGAAGCACAGTAAAAAAAACTAGAACTGTCACGCCTCGAGATCCAGCGTCTTGTTACTTTACTCCTATTGTTCTTGGGATATATATATATATATATATATATATATATATATATATAAAAAGAGTAAATTGATAGAGCCTCCCACTAGTGCAAGATCTTATAAAATACAAAATACACAAACAACAGCCAATTTGGTCTATTTACAGCTAGTTTTGGGGAGGAAAGTGATTCTTCATGAGCTCTTGGCAAAGAGCGTATGAGGAGGAGCAAAGAAGAGGACAGGATGAGTAGAAAGATAGTCATGTCTTTGACCTCCTGACCTCTACTTCTCTCCTGGTAAGCACACACACACAGTGCCCTGATGAAGCCAAGGCTGAGAGGGGAGGAGAGGAGAGCTTGATTTAGGAAACCACATAAGGCATGTTATTTTATCACTCCATCTGTATTCGCTACCTTGGTAAAAAATACTTCCTTTTTTATCTTCTTTCAATTTCTCAATCCCCCCCACAGGAGGTGGTAACTATACTGACCCTTCTCCAGAGAACGCCACAGAGAGCACGGACACATATAGAAACAGGAAGGAACGCACTGACCTACCCAGCTTTAGTCAAAAGCTCTGTAGTAATTACACCATCATCTATTATCTATCGCAGATGCTGAAACAGCCGAAACCTACGGATGTTATTGTTTCGCAAAAAATGAGTTATTGCTACAGATATTACACGCAGACACACATTCCGTGTTCTTTCACAACATCCCAGGGATGAGCTCATCAATAGCCGTGCTGGGACGTCCACTAACACAAAAGGTGTTTGGCTTAGCCTCCCTCATGTGGTCCAAAAGGTCACTATTTTCATGTACAGCTGTGTGTTGAAAGATGCGTTGTGCAAGGAAATAACAATGTGATGAGGATACTGTCAAGTGCAAACTGTTGGGTGTTTCTGCTCGTTGGCAGAGTAGAACGGAGCAGAAGGGAAGATAAGAGACAGTGTTGAAAGAGTTAGTTGCGCGTAGGGAGTAAAGTGAACTATTAGTTGTTTGCTGCTGAGCAAACTGACCTGGCTGTAGTTTGCAGTAGGGCTCGTACTCGTGGTCCATACCACAGGTGACCATCTTGAGGATGCGGTGGATAGCGCTGCTGTTCAGCCTGACGTCCAGAGGTCCCACCACCAGCGTCTTGATGGATGTCTCTTGGACAGCGGGCACTACGTCCTCCGTACTCACCGCCGAGAATTCCTGAGAGCCTGCAAATGAAAACAAACGTGATTAAATATATACAGTGTGTGCCATTACAAACTTGAGGATTCTTCTGTCACTCAGTCAGCCACTTTTCTCAAAGTCAGCAGACATGTCTTCTACTGTATTTAACATACAGGGTTGTGTACTGTTGACTAATAGTTAAGGCAGCAACATCTTTCCCCGTATCCCATTTCTTTCTGTTAATCATGTACTGTACAACTTAAGTGTAGAACCTCGTCATCTGTTGGGGTAAAACACAACAGAGATGGCAGCGGTGTAATGCAGCAGCAGCAGCGAGCAGTTCACATAGCCGTGACCCACTGGAATGATGAATTTTCCAAATGTCCACTTCCCTCACACAGCTGTCCCTTCATTCATCACAGGCCCCTGTTCCAGAGGTCCACTTAAAAGACTCAGCTCCCCGGCAATAAAAAAAGGCAGAAATTAAAAATAAAAGAAGGGGGTGGATGAATGGCAGCCAGGGAGGGAGCGGACAAAGGGTCACAACTTTCTTTATTCCCATTACATTCCGCAACGGACATTCTTACAGCTCAGAGAGCCAACACTATGAGTTCCACTTTTTTTTTTTTTATTTTAGCTGAAAGGGTTGGGGGATGGGGTGAAACGCACACTGAATTCTGGGGGTTTATAAAGGGCAATGCCACTTCCCTTTCCCTTCTTCAGTGGGAATTAACTGCAATGGATTAGGCCTAATATCAACCACATGGCTGCAGTTAGAACGGTCAGTGGAATGACGAGGAGGCCGAAATTAGCTGGGATTTAGACAATTTAAAGTGTCTCCATTTCCCCAAGATTAAAAAAAAAAGTTTTTAATCTGCAGCGTGGCTCTAATGTGAAGTCAATGGCGAGTGTGACCCGGGTCGGTTAGTATTTCGGTTGACTCAGAGTTTATGTTAGTCCCATGGCGATGGAAAGTAATTTGTTTGGTTGACACTGGATCTGGTCCGCGTCCGAGAAGAAGAGAAACACTGACAGAAGAGAAGCATTCCAATTGACAAGAGTAACCACAGCCTTCCCGCAGGAAAAGAGACTGACACTTATCCTGCTGTCAGAAATGACTTTGACAGCTCAGGATGACAGTATCAATGTTTATTTTTCATTTAGATAATTATCTGTAGCTGTCATGCGGGAGGAAACAATAGCCCAGTCAGAAAAAATGAAAGAGGAAAAGAGGACGGCAAGTGAAACAACACAGGTGGCACCAGACTCAAACTGTAATACACCGAATGATCTGTTCAGGTCATTAAACAGGTTCACCCAGATTTATTTGGTGTTAATTAAAAGGGCAGCTGTGCACTATGTCATCAAAAGTAGTCATCGCTGTAACTGGTGGTTTGCAACGTGATATTTGCCAGTTACACACAAGCCTATCCTTCTTTATATATACATATTATACATTTTTACCATTTGACACAGTAAGGGGTTGCACTTGATCTCGATTAGATCTGAAAGTGCTGAGAAAGTTAGCTTTCCTTTTCATCTATGTATTTTTAGGTGGGGGGGGGGACTTGTGAACGTCATAAAGGTGACATACAGCTTCCGAGCAGCATTGAAATAAAATGCTCACGCGGAGATGTTTGTGGGCCAAATATAGCATTTCAAATTGAAGGGGCAGCGCTTTATCTCCTAATGGGAACTTCAGATCTTTCAGACCTGAATAAACATTCTTGAGTGCCGCGGCTGAGGAATGAGGAATCCTGCCCATCTTTGAGCTTCTGCCAGGAAGAGTGACACCTAATTAGCCAAGAGAAGCCTATTCACTTTCTCAAGAGCTTACAGGTAAAGAGACGGGGGGGTGAACAGTGTTTCAACAAGCAGCGGGGAGAAAGAAACTCAAATATGTGTCAGTGCAGACTAAACACTTCTGACAGTTGCCCTCCAGGTAAGTTTGGGGTGAGAGCGAGGACAGGAAGGGTCAAGGACCAGGTGGCTGGGACTCAAACAAGACAAGCTCTTTCTTCAGGTCTCCAGGGGGCTTGTTCGACAGAGAGGAGAGGAGAGGAAAGAAAAAAGAAGAGAAGAAAAGAGAAGAGAAGAGAAAAGAAAAAAGAAGAAAAGAGAAGAGAAGAAAAGTGAGAAAGAAATACAATATGGATAGGAAGAGAGAGAGAGAGCAAGGCAGAGAAAAGGAGAACACGACAGACATAAAGAAAAACAGAAGAGGTGGCAAGGTGAGCAAACAGGTCTGTGAGGAGGAATGAATGAGACAGCACCTTTGGCGCTGCTGTTCTCCATTGTGTAGAGATAATCCATGTAGAAAGCACCAAAGCGCTGCATGCCTGCTATCTCCGTATAGCTCTCCTGTCAAACAAAAGTGGAGTTAGGTAAACATGGCAGTAAAGGAGCAAACAAGCTGATAGCATTTAAGAGTGGCAGTGACTGGGGTCATGGTGGATACGGCCACGGGGGTCAAATCACAGATAAAAAAAAAGAGTAATTGAGGGGTTGATTGCATTTCTTTTTTGTAACTTGCTAACAATAACATGAATATCTGGAACTCTTGACAAAGGCTTGTAACATAAGGAGATACTTGATCATGGTGAAAATACAACTGACCAACTTCTTCAATCATCTTCTCAGAGCAGAACTTGTGATAGCGAGTAGACTCAACTATATTTCATTATTCTTCATTTATAGTTGTAAATGTATTACATATCACGTCTGGTCTGTGTTGAGCAATAAGCCATTTATAAATGGAAATGAAAGTTTCATTCGATTGGTGCTTTGGCTGAATGCCACTGGAAAGACGTACCTTATCCAGTAAAAGATGATAGTTTCAACATGACATTGTGAAACATTGTGAAATATTCAAGATAGCAAAGGTTCAGCTTTTAAAAGCATCAATGTAATGCAGACTGTATCTGAAAGCAATACATTTTGGGAAAAGAAAATGTAATAACTGATGATTATTAAAGCACTTTGTGACCGTCGGTTACCCAACACTAAAGATAGTGTTTAACCACCATTACATACAGCATGAGGGTCACCAGTTTATTACAGGGCTAAAACACTCACATTCAGACCTGCACGTCATTTAGAGGTTCCATTAACATAGGCCTGCGTGTCTTTGGACTACGGCTTTATTTAGGACCATTATTAACAAATAATCCCAAAATATAGATAAAAGAACGTTTCTTCTACCTAAGTGTATTATTTTACCATAACTGCAGGTTAAGAGCCGTTGAGCCTGTCCTATAGACAATATTATAAAGTTATACTTCTACTGCACATCAAACCACTGGTAAACAGAGAGAATGAGAGGGGCCCCTCTCGCCTACACATTTTAACACCCCCACCCCAGACTCACTCACTAGCTCTCCAAACAGAGGTTTCAATAGAGCCTTATCAGTCAGGCGGGTTAATGAGTAATATTTATTAGGGGACCTCTAATGGCTCTGGCATGCTTTTGGATCAAAGCCATTGGCTGGTTTCAAAACCGCTAATGAATTAACACGAAAACCCTTTGACTCTTTAAGACATTCAAGTGTGGGCAGATGGATGGATGGCTGTCCAAACAATTGCTTCATTTGAGGGTCATGAACATTTCTGCAGCAGAGTCAACACTACAGCTGGGATGGCGGATGAAGGGAGCTGGTGGTTATCAGGAATAATGGCTTTAACACTACTGCTGAGATAGCGGGGCACATTCCTCCACTGCAGCTAGCAGCAGGGTGGCTGACAAGAGATACTCTAAGTGGCAGTCATTTCAATCACAATGATTTATTGCAAGGAGGAATTACTGAGAGTTAAACAAAAAAAAAAGATAAATACTATATTACCACTAAATATGATAATAGCTATAATTCCAGCGTTTCCTGTGGACGCTTGAAGAGAGACTGATGTAATGATCTCAGATTAGTGTTTATTGACCCAGTTGTCAATAACTGTGTGAGCCACAGCCACACTAAAATGTGTTAGGAAACATGTGTTTGAGCCGCTGTGTTTCTGAAAATAAAGAAACAGATGTCTTAATAAAGAGCTTTTTGCATCATTCTCGGGAACGTTTTGTTCTGTAAACAGCTTGAGATGTTTAGTGAGGACTGTGTCAATGGCAGGTGCTGTTCCAGTAAACAGCATCAGTGAGTCAATCGCGTTTAATGCACTTTTGTGTATTGCTGTTGGTTGAACAGCTGTGAGCTGCGTGTTGAGTTGGTTTTTGGCCTGGTTAACCGACTGCTTCGTTTTTGCCATATGCCTTAGTCTCAGCTCTCGGTTCCTTGGGTGTCCTTTGAAGGCTTAGTGGTTAGTCTGCTTGATTGTGAAATGCTACATTTTTAGCTACACATTACAAAGACATTGGCAGATTGTTTAATGTATCCTAGCAACGCACACTGCCAGCACCGGGCGTAGTTAAGTCTAGACTTACGTTAGGTTGGTGAAACCCAGAAAAAGTCCATTCTACAGATCGGTCTTAACAAAGACCGACTGAACAGTAATGACCAGGCTTAGTAAAGACCAGCTGGTGCCACCCCGCTCCAGAATAGAAATGCTCTTTCTGACCTTGTGATTAGCGGTATCCAGGATGAACTCCGCCCGGACTCCGTTGTTCTCTGGACTGCGGTAGTCAAAGAGAGAGTTGGTAAGGTAGGTCATTCCTTTGCTGCTCAGGCTGTCCCCACAGCTGAAGAACACTGCATCCTGCGGACAGAGAGACGAGACAAGGAGAGGAATAAAAGCTTAGCCCAAACTACAGAAAAGAACATCTTATCCAGAAGTATTTCAAACTATTTCATATGAATACTTTGCTGTCCCTTATTAAATGTAATCGACCAAGCTGTAGGTGACCCACAAATTGAAAAATACTTAAGAAAAACAAGCATTAGTTAACATATAGTTGATGAAATACATTGATTTCTATTGAGCCCAGAAGCATTGCACTGCACATGAGCGGATTGCAGCTGACACAGTGGTGTATCTGGCAAACACAGAGCATTACGGTGAATTACAGAGAGGCGGCTGGGTCTCTTCCATAAACAAACCAGACCACATCTCTACCTCCTTCTGAAAGCTCTGGGGAGCAATAGAGGCTGCGGGGAGGTCGTTTGGGTGAAACTCATCTCTGTTCTGGGCTTTTAAATAATCTTTCCTTATCCCTCTCACTCAAGTTTTCCGCTTTTTGTTTTCATTTTTCCTCGAGGTTTTTCATGCTGTCGTTACCTCTTCGCGTCGGTTCATGTTTTCGTCAAAATCCCGTACTCCCATGATGCCTTTCAGGCAGAGTGCCCGGCAACCCACAAAGCCAATCTGACAATCGAAGAAGGGCTCCCCCATCATCAGCACCTGGAAGAAAAAGCGGAGGAAGAAACTTGAAGCAGCTTTTATACTCCGGATTTATCCACCTGGACATAAAGAACAAACTCTGGAGCGCTTTTCCTCCAGTAAGGAAAATAAGGAATACAACGACCTGTACAGTTATTATTATTATTATTATTATTACTAAGTTCAAACTAAACAGAAGGCGACAGTGTTGGCTTCAGAATCCTTCCCCAGGATGTAAAATGTCTTAAATCAGTCAACAGAAGCCCAGTAAAACCAGAACTGTGCAATAATTCACAGAAATTAATTTAACCTTTTACATCGCAGTAAAACATAACATTTGAAAATAATGGCAGTTCGGGACGCAATTTATTGTAAATACATCACAAACGAGGTTCTCCACCCTGACCGGCTTGAGGCTAAGTTGGTTTGCGTGCTGCTGAGGTTGTGTGCTCATTTCATTATGATAAAAAAAAAAAAGAGCAGGGGTCAGACAGCTTCCATTTTCTCTTGAGGGTGGAGTGTGAGTGTGGTAGGAGTCCAGCAGCACCTGTAACCAGTAAAGGTTTGCTCGTCCCTCCCTCACCGTGCCTCTGCTTCACCCAGCAGACAACTAAACAGAGAGCAATCCAATAAAACTTTACGTTTCACCACACAATAATTACAAGGCCCAGTTTTCCCTGTTTTACTAGCCACCCCTTTGCCTTTCAACGCTCTCACTTTTGGTCCCAGTTCAGACTGCTCTCTCACTCTTCCAGCAAAAGCATAAATTATAGAAATTGGAATTGGAAATCTCTCCGAATTTCTCACATCTGGTAGAGAGCTTAGGAGCAGAAAACTCCTTTCCTGCTCCAACCAGGTAATCAGAGAAAAAGGGTTTTTAAAATATTTTCTACGCCGAGGGGGAAACGCGGAAATGATCAGAGTTGGACCCGACTCAGACACGGATTCCTCTGTGTTCACAACAGGCCACGGATTAGTAACCTGGAGAGGCTTTATAAAACTACTTAGGAAGGGTGTTAATAAGAGGAACCAAGGAGACACTAATAATAATAATGGAGGGTCAAAAGGGAAGGACAGGGGATCTGCATTTGTCTGTCCAAGTTTGGCCATGACGTGACAATTGATAGAGGGCAAATTATCACCAGAAAAATCTGCTTTAGTTGAAAACAATGAATGGTTGGGCCTGATGTTATTTGGAATAATAATATTCCTCCTCATAATATTGGTTATAATCCAGACATGAACAATGTGATTGAAAATCTATATCGGGATACATTTTCACATTTGCCTCCATATCAATAAATGTAACAATACACGTAAATCTATTTTTGACATACTCTACTGGACTTTGATTAGTTGGTTGAACAAATGTTAAAAGCAAGCTGTCATTGCAGCTTCTCTTTGTATATTTTGGAATTTTGACAATTTATCAATAACAAATTGCATAGTTAATAAATCAGCTGCTATTACAATCTTGTAATAGCATGTTACTGTACCTCAATAGTGATCCCCTCTTGCTCCAGGCATAGCACCTCTCTGGACTTGACCTTCTGAGGACTGTAGTAGCTGCTCTCTGACTGGGTCTCAGTCAGCTGGGACAAAAGACAGAGAGGCAGATACATTCAATATTCTTCAGAAAGATGAAATAAATGCATTATTTAGCAGGCAAAGACATTTTGCCCTTGAGTTGATCACAGCAGAACAAAAAAACCATAAAATCGAAACAGTTTTGATTCAATCTGTGAAAAAAGAAATGAAATGCTTCAACAAGGTGTCACAAATAATCAAAGATAGTAAACTCTGAGAACTGAAGCCTTTCCAATGGTTACATTTGTGTTACTGTTAAGGCTTTGTCACATTAAAAAAAAGTAGATATTTAAAAACAATTAAAACAAATCAGCACAAAATAAAAGGCTGTTCAGTATACGAGGCACCTCCAAATATTGAGAGACGACAAGGGAACGCTAAGCTTTGTTTGACAGAATAAGTACCGGTTTTGGAAAAAATACGGATCTCAGATGAAATTCAACACTAAAACTGGAACCCATACAGTATGTCTCATTGTGTGTGTGTGTGTGTGTGTGTGTGTGTGTGTGTGTGTGTGTGTGTGCGCTTGTGTACCCACAATCCACTGCTGTAATAGATACATGATCTGAAAAATAAACAAAAGTTATGTGTGTCTTTGGATGAGGCCCCCGAAAATAATGCTTAAAACCAGAAACAATAACATCCAAACAAGGACGGATGACGTTTCTCTTAGATCACAGGCTGGATGCCAGCCTTGGGACGTTTGAACCGTTTTCTTTTTCCTAGTCTGGACCCCGGCCAGAGGCATTCATCAAACCACATGACAGTCGCTCCTCCCTGACTCTAGGGGAGGCCCGCTCGGGCTTTATTGGGGATGACAATCAGAACATGACTAAAGCACTCGGGATACCACGGGTTGAACTGATAATGTACAGTGATTGAAAGCATTGAGAGCATTCATTCTGTGTGTATAGACGGAGTGGAGGCAAGAGAGAGACGAGCTGAAGGGAGACGGCTACAGAGCTGTGCAGGCCCAAGTCTGTTCAACTTTTAGCACAGGAAGCAGGTGCAGTGCAAGGAGCAGCTGTGACTTATTATCCCCAATGATGGAGCAGACTCTCTCACCCTGGCTCCCTTTCCCTGGTTCGATTCAGACGGTTTAATCACGTGCGGGGCCCGCCCCCCCCCCCCCGAGGTGCCTGAGAGCAGCGGTGAGCAGGGAGGTTGAATGATCCGACAAAAGTTTAGCTCTCTCTGACGACACCAGCGCATCGTGGCACCGACACTGGCAAGCTGCCGATCAGACAGACGCAAACATGATGACTGTTTGTCCAATAGGAACAACGGCGGGCATTTCTGGCTGTACCTCGGCCTGAAACAACACAGCAGACACAGGAGCATCGGAAGACAGAGCTACTGCTGCCACTGCCGTCCCTGCTACCTCTCCTTTATTACACCTTGGCCTCATTCAAAGGCTTCGGGAGACCAACACAAATCAAATGATTCTTTATGAGGCATCTTGGAAATGTTATGACCTTAGCTGTGACTGTCGAGGACGGGGGCTATATCTTCAAGTCCATTTCTCAGAAATGTAACACGATAGAGAAGTTGGAAGCAGACTCTGGGAACACTTGCTGTTGTTGTTGAAATAAAGGAAAATACCAAAACAAAAAAGGAATGGCGTGAGGTCTGGCGTGCAATGAGAGTTTGGCAGGTGTGCAGAACGTGAAAGAGCGGAACAAATGGTAAGCGCTGAACTATGCATTGTGTGTGTTAAAGTCATTCAATGATCCTGCCAGTTTCTCTGATCAAACAGATCTTGGGGAGTAATGGGTCAGCAATCTAAAAATACCTCTCTGATTTCATGTCCATGTCAACCGCAGGTTCAGGCAGTGGCTGCTCAAAGACGTGAAATTCCTCCAACTAAATACTTCCTTGTAGGAAAGAGACGAGAACGTTTCAGCTGTCTGCAATTACTCCAGACGAGAGGCAATTAATTGATTAAAAGAACTCAAACAATACAGGAACAATTTAAATGTTATTAGAAAAGCACCGTGGTCTGTTTGGCCTGAGACATACCTCCCTTTCACTGATCACACACACACACACACACACACACACACACACACACACACACACAC